ATTAAAAACAAAGATTAAAAAAAAAGCACTAAAAGCAAAAAATAAGCACTAAAAAACAAAAAATAAGGGCTTTAAAGAAAAAAGTAAGCACCTATAAGAGCCTTTATATTTTATTTTTAAATATAAGGACTTATAAGCACTTGTAAGGACTGCTACATACCCTGTCTTTTTATTATTATTTCCAGTATATTAAAAGGCTTTGGAAACTCAGGCGGTAAGATGCAAATAAAATACAGAGTGCACACATACAAATAAAATTCAATAGCTGAACCTGAATTCAGATGACAAAATTTAAAATATAACAAACAAAATTTTAAAACATTATGAAGAAAGTCTCATGTGATCCTGAGCCCCATAACAATCATAATAAACTGAATTCTTTCAAAAAGTTATTAAATAATAGGTTTTACAACCTGAATGGATGTACTGCAGCATTATACTTTCTATCACTACTACATTAACTACAAATATTTGTAATAACTAGCTGCCTAAAATAATTACTGAACAAAAGAAAAAATATATAATCCATTTAATGTAATTTCATGGGCCCAATTCATAACGATTGAAATGAATCTGCATTCATTGCTTTTAAATCACTTAGTTTTCCAAATAATAACAGAAAAATATGAAAGAAAAATGTCTTATGCTTTGCCGAATGACTGCATATTGCAGTGTAGAAAATAAAAATATTTAAATTTGGGAACTGACAAAACATTTCTTTTAAATTACTGAGTTTATTGCTGAGTGTTTTGCCGAGTGGCAACACCCTTTTTTTCTGTAGCTGAGTTCGATTAAATCTGAAACATAAGTATCTTATGCTTTGCACAGAGGCAATAAATTAGTTTTAAATTTTTCAGTTAATCAAAAATTCATTTAATTTTTAAGAAAACAGAAAATAAATAAAAACTCAAAATTTAAAATTTGGTGGCTCTAAGTGGAGCCATTTTTCCACAATGAAAAGAAACATATACACAATTTTTCATTATTTAATAACAAAGATATGCAGTAAATTACGCTGCATTTCCAATTGCAACTCTTACAATGTAACATTTGTCAATCTCTCTACACAGTCCACCAAACAGCCACTATTGTTAAAGTACTCTATTCGCTTTGTAAAAAAGACATCAATATTTTGTTAGACACTGATTTTACCGGAGGTTTTGTTTAGAATGCTACAAGTACATTCTGCAGATTAACTGTTCAAATTTATTACTGTTCTATCAACCATATCCAGTTGTTCTTCTTACCATTCAACATATATTAACTCTTTTGATCAGCTGTAAATAAACTGAACTGCAACGCATTCGCAAATTTGATTCTACTGCTCTCAAACCACATTACTCTTTAAATGGATATTCTCATCAAAACTGTTCATGCTGAAACACTTTCCTTTATCTGTTTTCAAATAATGTACCACACTGTGACCATTAACACAGTGATTGCTGTGGGGGTTACCGGTGACATGACCAATAGTAAAATACATAATTAGATATCGATACTCATAAATTTTAAAATAGCATTATTGTTACTATAATGGTTTGAAGAATAATAAATTGAAAAAATTTAAATTATAAATCACAATAAAGGTCTAAAGCGCCTTGGGTGTCACTGGTAACCCCCACCACAAAAAATGCATCAAACACGATTATATAACTCACATTATCTTCTGTAGATAATATTTCAACATAATATACATCGCATAATAAAAATTTCAAGTTGGCGTCATGGGCAAACCACATCAAATGTGCGCTGCAGTCAACCTGTTAATAGACTTTTTTTAATGGCAGGATCCCATAACTTTGAAAATAATTCATTGTTTGCTCCTCTTGGAGGCCAAATCCAATTTTTAATTATTATTATTATGTTTTCCTTCAAAATAGAAGAAAAAACAGCAATAACAACTAATTTAGAAGTCAAACAACAAAAATCAGCATTATATTCGGAAATTTTCCAGGACTAGGATGATGGTTCGGTTAAATCATCGAAACTAGTCCTGGAAAATTTGTGACTATAGTGCAGATTTTTGTTGTTTGACTTCTAAATTAGTCTATGTCCGGCATGTTGTACTAGCCTAAACAGCAATAACAGCTAATTCATATCCTTGTTCATAAAAATGAAAGGTGGCTTATCAAGAATCAGTTGGGGCTATATCAAACGAAAGTGCAAAAACAGTTTCATGGTTGACAGAACAGTAAGTAAGTATATTTATTTATATTTTTTGTACATAGTTAATTAACCCATAAGTTCAGTTTAACTAACATTTTCTATTAAAGAGTATACTTTTATCAGCCAACCAATCAAAGACATTGATAGGTAAAACAGGCAATTTAATTTTATTAAAATCTATAATAAAAGTTCCTAGCAATTATATTTAACACAAAACAATAATTTTTAAGAAATTCTTTTATGGATCATATAATGAAACTACATTTTATATAGCCTGAGGCTGGGGAAATAATTAAAAAACATCTGATATGATTTCATTAATATTAAATGAAATTCTTTCACAAGTATAATATTATAACAACAAAGCTTTTATTTTTTACTTTTAATGCACAATTTTATGAAAAAACTGATTTAAAATTTATCAATATACAAATCAAAATTTAAAATCAATACATACCCTCCCTGCATATCATTAGCAAATAATTGTGGAAAATTACCAAAGCCAAATCCTAAATTTTGGAATGGATCACGAGTTCGTAAGCTTCCTAATAAAATAAATTTGCAAAACTTTCACTATTACTATGAAACACATGGTTACACATATTTATTGAAATAATAATAATAAAGCAAATTTAACTGCAAAAAAACATACACAAAGAAGTGCCAAAAAGCACAAAATATGAAAATAATAGTAAAACAATTTGAAAGCTTCCAGATTTTACATTATGCATATAGGAGCTTTTTTTAATGTTTTGTGTGTTACCTTTATTTATTAAATATCGTACATTTGTCAGCAATATCGCAAAATAATTTTTAAATGAAAATCTTTAGGATTTCCGATACACAGTTTCGCATGGTGGAAATAAAAATGTCCTCTCTCCCGTACAGTGTTGCCATAGCTCGCTTTGAAATCATCGAGTTTGTTATTTAAAAATTTGTTAAAGTGTTACAAAATATGAAATCCATAATAAAACAAATTTCAAATTCCAAATTAGAACTTCCAGATGCTCATATTCAGTGGAAGATTACATTATTCAAAATTTGATAGCTCCAGGTACTGTTGTTTTATCACAATGTGAAAAATATACATTTATGCAGATTCTTCATTTTTTAATTTCTTTAAATATAACACAGAGCGATAATATTTGGTGGCAACAAACTGAAAAGTGATTCAATGATTACAGTGAATCGAAGCAGAATGCTAAAACAAAATTAATAGTCCCTCTGGGCAAATTGCCCCTTCGGACTAATTATACACAATATGGTAATCTTTTATACACTTAATGCTTAATTTTATGCAGACTAAAATGTTGTGACAGCTCAGATCTTTTCCAGATAACATAAATTGATACAGTCAAAAGTCTTTAATCCGGAATGATCTATAATCCAGACCTCAAAACTACAAACTTTCTGCGCATGCGTCAATGCATTATGCGTTGATGCATGCGCATAATACCTTTACGCATGCATGTTTAATGTATAATGGACGGTATAAGCTAAGCTAAAATCATCTAATTATCCATTTCGGTTAATTTTGCAGATAGTGTTGTTCCTTAATCTTCTAATTGGATCCAGATTATTATTTTTGCAGATTGTTAGAGCAACTTTATAAAAGTAAGCTTGAACTTTCGATTACGTCAAAAAGAATTTCCGATTCTGGAGCTGCCAAAGATCTACAAAGCGAAAGGATGTTTCGATGTCCATCAAACAAAAAGTGGAATTGCTGCAAGAAACGGATAAAGGCATATCCTTTGTTTCTCTAACTATTCCGAAATCTCATCCACACTGCTCTGCCCGGGGGCCATCACGGCGCGCAATGAACTGGAAGTTGATTTGTCAGCACCAGTGGCAGCTTGTGACTAAAATTAGTGGGGGGAGGGGGGGGCACTGTTCCAAACAAATTTAATCTTTCAAAATCGTAAAAACAACCTTGTATTTAGTGTAAGTATATTGAAACACTCAATCGATTTCGAGGGCAGCTAAAGGTCCCTCTTAATCAGGAGAAAGAAATACCTAGAAAGAAGAAAAAAAGGGGAAGAGTCTCAGAAACACTGTCCTTATCAGCACTGCAGTGGTTAACTGGAATTTTAATCAGAGTTAAGCTGGCCGCCTACTTTTACTGAGCCAGGCTATTTAAAGCTTTACTATTTAAAGATACTTGACATTGAAGAAACAGGAACGAAAAGAAATGTCTTATCAACAATAGGTCGCCTCTTTGATCCGTTAGGTTTAATTGGACCTGTTACGACAAAAGCTAAAATATTTCTACAAAAACTTTGGCTTCTAAAATTAAATTGGAATACACCTCTTCCTAAAAATTACTTTGAAGAATGGAAGGAATTTCTGCATAGTCTCAAAATAGTCAACGATTATCGCATCCCTAGATTTGTTCTAACCAATGGATTACAGCAAGTAGAAATTATAGGATTCTGTGATGCTAGTCAGAAAGCCTATGGTGCTTCAATTTATGTGAAATGTATGTCATCTTCGAATGAATTTTCATCAAGACTTCTGTGCAGCAAGTCTCGCGTGTCACCTCTGAAGTCAATTACCATTCCTCGTTTGGAACTTTGTGGTGCAGTTCTATTGGTAAAACTAATGAAAAGAATATTAGAGGCCATTCAGCTGCCTATAGTGAAGGTGTATTACTTCACTGATTCGTCAATAGTGTTAGCATGGATTAAGAAGGAACCTTATCAACTAAAGACATTTGTTGCTAATAGAGTATCTGTTATTCGAAGCATGACTGCTGTTCATGAGTGGTACCATGTTAGCACTCACAATAATCCAGCTGATTTGATATCACGTGGAGCTGAACCTAAAGATCTTCTTCATAATGATTTATGGTGGTATGGACCAACTTTCTTGACTAAGAAGAAGTTTTTGACTAATCCTTGTGAATTAATTTCATCTGATATGGATAATGTGGAATACGTCAAACAACTCAAACTTAAGGATAATGACTTAGTTAAATTAAATGTGAACTCTAATTCCCTTATTTTAGATCATATTCTTAACATTAGTAATAACTATATTCGTATTATTCGTGTATTAAGTTTTGTTTGTAGATTTATAGCCAATTGTAAGGGAAAACATTTAATAGGTTCTCTAACTGTTAAAGAATTGGATGACGCTGAGAAAATCATGATCAGGTATGTACAGTTACAACATTTTAGCAAGGATATTCTATCTTTAAAAAATAAGAATTGTGTTTCTTCCAAAAGTAAGTTAAAATTTTTATGTCCATTTCTAGATAATGATTCTCTTCTGAGAGTAGGAGGCAGACTTGCCAATAGTAATCTTAATTACAACCAAAAGTTTCCTTATGTAATGCCAAAAGATCATGTATTTACTAGATTAATTTTTCAGTATTACCATGTTAAATATTTACATCTTGGTGCTCAAGCACTATTGCATCAGGTTCGTAGTAAATTTTGGGTTATTAATGGTCGAGATATAGCTCGAAAGGTTGTACATGAATGTGTAACACATGTTTTAAGGTTAAACCAAATTGTATGTGAACAACTTATGGGAAATTTACCTGGTGAGAAGAGTTAATCCCAGGGTTTGTATTTAATACTTGTGGACTCGATTTTTCTGGTCCATTCCTCATCAAGTATAAAAATCAGAGAAAGGGTAATTATGCAAAAGTGTACGTTGCTATAGTATTCATATGTTTAGCTACTAAAGCAGTACATTTAGAGGTAGTAACTGATTTAACCACAGATTCATTACTTGCTACTATTAAAAGATTTATTGCTAGACGTGGAAAATTTAATACCATAATGTCAGATAACGGTACTAATATGGTTGGTGCAAAATCAGAACTGAAAAAATTACATAACTTAGTCCTTAAATTTAATTTTGATATAGCAGATTTCTTAACATCTGAAGGTATAAATTGGAAACTAATTCCACCTAGAGCACCAAATTTCGGTGGTTTATGGGAAGCAGGTATTAAGTCATTTAAATACCATCTTCAGCATACAATCGGCAGTTATAAATTAACTTTAAAAGAAATTTGGACTGTTGTCACACAGATTGAAGGTATTCTCAATTCTCGTCCAATTCTACCTTTATCAACAGATGCAAATGACTTTGAAGCCTTAACGACCGGTCATTTTTTGATTGGACGTTCCATTACTTCATATCCTGAACCAGATTTGTCTCATCTTACAGATAATAGACTTTCTAAATGGCAAGTTATTACCAAGTTCATTCAAGTTATTTGGAAACGTTGGCAAACTGATTATTTAAATCATCTCCAACAACGCACCAAATGGTTTATCAATAAAGAAAATTTAAAGGCAGGTATGTTAGTTGTGTTAAAGGAAGATAATCTTCCTCCATTTAAATGGTCTTTAGCTAGAATTCTAGAAGTTTTACCTGGTAAAGATACCTGTAAAGATACCAGTTTTGCCTGGTAAAGTTTTACCTGGTAAAGATAATAAGGCCATAGTTGTTAAAGTGAAAACATCAAATGGTGTGTATATTCGATGTATTAGTAAAATTTGTTTATTACCTATCCAGGATAATAATGCTTAGTTTACATTATGTTCTTATTGAAAATTGTGATTTACATAAAAATAGAACTGTTTAAGAATAAGTTCGATTGTAGCATAGTGAATGTTAATGTTCTTGAATGTTTGTATAATTTTATATTATGCTCATGATGAAAGATTATCTATTAGCTTTCATATTGTATTGTAGAATTAGTTATTCTTGGAATGTTAAATTGTATGTTTGTTTGTAATTTACATGTTGAAATTTGTAATTTCAACAGGCAGCGGCATGTTAAGTTAGAATACAGCGCCACCTATTGAATAAGGAGAGAAACTCGCACTTGGCCATCTGGATTCAGCTAAGCAACATGTCAGAGCATGTATTAGATCGCAATGTAGTTAATTACTGTAAATAAATTAGTTCTTTTGTTATACAGTCCACTCATTACTTTAGAATCATAGTACACCCATGAAAAGTTGCTAAATGATTTGGGCTAATTATACACAATAAAGTAATCTTCTATACACTTGTTGTTTAATTTTATGTGAACTAAAATGTTGTGACAGATCAGATCTTTTTCAGATAACATAAATTGATACTTTCTGATTATCTGCACTCCCATGAAAAGTTGCTAAATCACTCGTGAATTTGCGGATTAATGAAAAATACTTGCTTAACTATCTTTATGGCTTCTAGGTACTGTTCTGATTATAAATAATGATAAACTTTTTATATGAAAGAATTAAAATCTTTACGGCTTTATTAACATATTATTTGATTTTGTGCTTTAACCTAAATCATGTAAACTCATGTGTACTCAAACATGTATCGTATGTTTGAATGCATGAATGGGTTCATTACTGTTACATATACAACTCAGAAATATGCCCCAAACATGGCAATTCAGAATGTTGAAACCAGGAGTACAGCACTCATGAAACAATTTACCGACATGTCAGATCATACATACTGCATTCGCTTCTGAAGCAACCATACCTATTATCCTACAGTTAACCCTCTGTGCAGCACGGTTTTGGTTCTGCTCAAGAAGACCTGTATTGAAACTGAATTTTAATAGCTAAATTTGTACAATTACCATATTTGATGGCATATAAGATGCACTTTTTTTTCCTAAATTTGGTCTAAAAAAAAGTTACCTGCGTCTTATACGTGAAGGACACAGGTTAACTTTCAATACTGAATGCTATTTTTAGCCCGGATAAAGGTCTAGACACACATAACTTTTTCTACATCTACATGTGTGTGGCCTTCTAAATAAGGGTGCGTCTTATATGCCGTCAAATACGGTACTTATCTTAATCTCTGTTTTCATAAACTTTAAATATCTACATCATTAAGGAAATTAAGAAAGCAAAATATCTTAAAATATAAACTAATAAATAATGACACACAAAAAAACTCATGACCCGATAAAGGTGGTCTTGGCACTCAGGGGGTTAAAGCTGTTTTCTGATAAAACAATCCTTTTAATTCCACACTATAAATTTACATTAGCCATAGAACATTTTTAATGATGAAATCAACTAATATCAGGCAATATATGTTTGAATTCCCCCTTTCCAGAACTATACTACGTTTTATTTCAGTTTTTTAAATACATCAAGATATTTACTATATACTTCCAATTTTTGTTGAAAACATTCTCCCAGAGTTCTTTATTTTGGAAAACTTTTTGTTTGGAAATACGCATACCAAACCAATATTTATACGAATAAAACCTCTAATCACCATTTTTCAGCACTCCTTACATGAACACAATTTTTATGCTACAGCAAATTTATAACTGTACATTCCAGAAACTTCATTAGTTTAAAGCAAAACATTACAATTTAAAAACAGCTTATAGAAAGAACTGCAGCCTTCACTATCCAGAATTGATACCTGTAGTACAAAAATTAAAATTATGAGCATTTGAAGTTTAAGACAAGGTAACCAATTAAATGAAAACATCTTTCCCTTTAAAAAAATGATACCATTTATTATTTTATCTAAATATGGCAAAGTACATGAACTATCTGCCTCAGGGAAGGTACATTTCATGAAAGATTTTGAAAAACTAGCTCTGTTATTTATCACCTTTAAAAGCATTAGTAAAATCTGCATAGCTGCCAAACTTAAAATATTAAAAACTGGGATGTTTTCATGCTGCACATTGCAGCCCTTTTAAAAGAACTCTACATTTACTTAAATTCACATTATAATGCATGGTTCAGGTTATTGAACTATTTATGATATGATTCTGATGTACAATATACCAATATTTAATTGATATTCTAAATTGCATGTTCTATGGATAATTTCATTTTGAAATTTTTTAGCATTTTTGTACTGAGAAAATCCTGACAGGCATATATAATATACACTCTAGTTAATTAAAGTGCTTTTAAAATTTGATGACACTGAAATTAATATACATATATTTACACTTTTATGTAAACAAAATTAAATGCAGTTATTAACTGATTAATCAATGGCTGAATCTTCATAAAAAGTTCTACAATTGTCTACAGTAGATTAAGACAATTCAGATAAAAAAATTAACAAGAAACATATGCTGAAAATCACTAGGGGTAAGGAAATGGAATCTGCACAGTTTAAGTTTCATTATTCAATAAATTTCGCTTATAGTTGGGTAAATATTTTTCCTCATAAAGGCTAACAATTAAAAATTCGTTGATATACTGGGACAGTTGGCAGCTATGATTTTGGTACTTAACACTGCCCCTTTAATACAACTATCTCCAAAGAAAACCAAATTTGAAAGAAATTGCTTGAGTTATGTTTTCACTGCATGAACTGAGTTATGATTTCATTGCATTTGAGATATGATTTCACTGCATTTGAGTGGTTGTCTTATGATTTCACTGCATGAACGTTTTCTTCAGTCAATTTATAGAACACAGTTTAACTGCTAAGCAATTCTTGCAAGAATGCATGAAAACTGCAGGACATATTTTGAATTGATGTTGTCTATTGACTTATATTTTATTATAATTATATTTTGACTTGATGACTGAGCAACAAAGACACACTGAAACTCGCAAGAGCGCTGCGTCGCGGTTCTCAAGACAAATGAACGCAGTCAAACAATTAAGTGAACAATGTGTTCTAAGAAAGTGGAAAATTAAAGCAATAAGAATTGTAAGTACTATTCGGTTTCGAGGGCCGTAAAAAGTCGCCAAACTATTGTTGATGCCAATGCTGCCAAAAATAATTGCGGCAACCCTAATAATTGCGGCAAGAAAGGAGGTATAATAGTAAATAACTATCTAAAGATTGATGTTTTAATTTAGATGAAAGGTTAATTTCATATAATACTTTTTATTATTATAATTTATATGAAAAAGGCTAAACATTACTGAATGGAAGCATAAGAGTAAATAATTATTTCAGATCATTATTATGATTTATATAAAAATTGTTAAACATAACTGCTGCATCGCTATTTCGCTACCGACTTATCGCTAAAGCATAATTTCATCTCGTTGGTTGTTCAGACGTAATTTTCTATAATGAATGATGCTTTTTCTTTTCTTTGAAAATATTCTCGGTAAAGGTGCAGAATCGCTCACTATTTTTGTTTGCCGCCGCTTTTTACAAGGGTAAAAACAATTGGATTTTTGTCAATTTCTTTTTACATTTTAAGTGAAAATAGGTCGATTTGTACATAGATAAAGCCAAGGTGTGCGCAGTGCCATTTTTGTGCAATTCTGTGATTTTTTTCAAAGTGAAAATAGGTCGATGTGCACATTGATACCGAGTATGTGCAATTCTTAAAAACGCGTCAAACAGTGGATGATTCTGCACTTTACCCAAAATTCTATTTCCAACTTTTCGTCATGGGCAATTCCCAAATTGTTAAATCCATAGGATATTAAAAAAGGATTTAAAATCAAAAAAGGATTAAAAAATTAAACTAGTATTTCAGTGGCGTTGTAAGAAATATAGAACTATATAAACTTACGCAATCTGAAATCAGCGCGTACACTAGATTTGGAGCGCTGTTAAATGGGTGCGTTTGCTAGATTTGGCGCTCTTGCGCATACATTTTCGCTGCAATTTTTTATGGTCCTCGAAACGGAATAGTACCGAATTTTAAATGTTTTTTTTTTTTTTTTTTTTTTTAACAGAAAAAAATGGTTTTAATGTCTCAAATATGAAAAATTTGGTGATGTTAAGAAACAGATTTTATTAATTACACATACAATGGCTTGATTTTACCTTTCTTATTACACTTTGACAGTAAATGATAGCAGTAAACTGAATAATTTAAGGCATAACTAGAAAACTTTATATTTGTTCTAGCAACATTACTGATGCTGCTTGAATAGGTATCAGAATGGGAACATTCATTACAGTAAGAATGCTGCCTATTTGAATATTCACTCGAAATGTGATTCGGTGTGGGACCTAATATGTCCTCTTACTAGAGAGTATAAGGTTTTGACAATTACAGTACATGACACCGTACTTGCTACACAAGCATTATTTACTCTAAGTACAGGTAGTAAAATGCATTCACCTTAATTAGACCTTTAATTAGTATACCTTTAAATGATGCTGTTTTCTTATTCATATAATTATACTACTACTTGCCTACTTTCCATTCCCCGGAAAATTTTAGTATAAAATTAAAATAACAAAAATGAAGCTTTCGTATGTGAAAGAAACTTACCACTCCCATTTTGATTTTTCCTATCAGAGTTTCCTCCAAATAAGTCAGCAAATGGGTCACCACCAAAAAATTCTCGGAACACATCTTCGGGATTACGGAATGAAAACTGGAAGAATGGTGAAAAGTCATGATCAAACATTGATTCAGCTCCCCTTCCATGATAGTGTCGCCTCATTCTTTTAGCTCCCCCTTCCAATCCCTCTTTACCATACTGGTCATAAATTTTACGCTTTTTCTCTGCATAAAACAGAAAGTAAAACAAAATTAAAAAATGTAAGTTTTCAAGAATAAGAAAATGTGCTTAGTAAAAAAGTGATACTTTAAATAAACACAATGAACATGTGGCTGAAATTTAAACCATTTTTTTAAAAATATTTCTCACTTTATATGTTAGAAAGAAGAAATCCTTACAACACATTTAAAAATCTGAAAAATAGTATAAAAAATTAAAAGTTATTGAATAACATGAAAGAATTGCAACATTAACTAAAATTCACATTTTAGTTTTGCTTTCAAAATTTTGAATGTATTCATAAAAACATAGATGCCAATATAACTTAAAATTATTTACATATATATATATAAATTCAGGTTTTACACAACAGACTACAAATGAACATATTAAAATTACCGTCAGAAAGAACCTCATATGCCTCATTTATTTCCTTAAATTTTTTTTCTGCTTCTTCTTTTCTATCTAAATTTTTATCTGGATGCCATTTTAAAGCAAGTCTTCTATACCTATAATAAGAAATGAGATAACAATTTCCAATGAGTATCAGAAATGAGAAATACAGAAAGTTTTATATAGCTTTTTTCTGTAGTGAATTCAGAAAAAATCATTTTGATGCAAGAGTTACAATTTAAAATAAAATTTCCTTTTTACTATCTACAACAGAGAGAAAAAATACTATCTACAATTATAACTAAAAACATTTTGCCCCGTATCTTATTTTTATTTCATTAATGGGAGAGACCATACTGTTATTGTTCTTTTAAGTAATTTCCAATATACTGCACGCTTTTATTTCAAATCAGTAATAAAGTATGATAAATATTTTTCAAAATACAATTCTTTTAAATAAAAAAGATCTTCACCAACCTTATCAGTTTGCAACACAAAAACAGTTGCTCAGAACTAATTGTTTAAAAATATTATTCTGGATTTAATTCTAATTAAAACACCTTTTGCTTTCTTAACCCTTCAAAGCAGCCACGAGAATAGCTCCCACATCCCAAATTTCTCAAAACTGTCATGAGAAAGAGGTGTTTTATAACTAGTAACTTTTATTATAACCTGCAAGATTATAATACAAAATGACTCTGGTACTTTATACCTGGATTATTTTCCTTTTATTCCACAGCAATAATTTCTTGCACATAGCAAATTCAAAATCCAAGACCATATCATGCAGGTGCAAGCAAACACAGTAACATAAAACCAAACCCGGGTCTATACAAAAAGGTTACTATTACAAAAAAATAGCAAAAATCCAAATTTATCATAACACGTTTGGCAATATTCGCAGAAATAGCTGATTTTTTAACAACAAAAACTTTTTAAAGAAAATTTCCTCAAGGTTAGTTTTGCCAGCATTATCAACACCAGGATTACCGAAAAAAACTATTTCCCGAACAACTACTTGATGATTTTTGCAGATGGAAACCAATGGGTACCATACAGTAAAAATCAACCCAAAATATAATTACTAATATAGGAAAAGCTTAGTCCAGAAATTTGAAAAATCAACGTATTTTTACGTAGTTATACATAATATTCCTTCTCCTCATTACTATGCTGTTTCTACTGACATAAAATTACTTCCTTTAAGCATGTTGTATACAATTACTCATTTAATTTATTTCTGTGTGTAATGCTGTCTTTACAGACATAAAATTATTTCCTTTAAGCATGTTGTATATAATTAATCATTTAAATTATCTCTCTGTTTGAACAACTGAGTTTTAAATAAATTTGTTAATAAGCTTGAAAATTCAAGTCCCATAGGAATGTAAAACAAAGTTTGATAAGTTTCTATTTCGCTTTAGGGGGGGGGGTCCTCACAAAATAACGTTTACAACATACATTTAATTACACATGAAGAAAGCAAAATTACAGCTGCTATCTTTCTCTACACATGCCCATAAAGAAAGATTCTCCACCTACATAGGTATCAAAACAATATACAAAACTCACTTTAGTGTATATAATAAGGCACTCGCCTGCAATTAACAGTTGAACCTAAAATAAGAAATCTGTGTACAAATATGCAACCATACATTTCTCATTTATGTCTTAAATTAGGCCTACTTAATTTAGGCAACCCTTAGTTGCATAATAAAATTAAATTGTAATTGCCTTCCAGAATGAGCAATAAAAATTTCAAATTGTAAGTAATGAACTGAATATATATTACTGAATTGCATATGATGATTAACATTATAAGAACTTATTAATGATCCTCTCAGCAATAATGCAAAATATATGTCATAACATAAATTGGTTTGACTTATTAAACTTTGTAAGAACATATATGCATGGTTAATTTCTGACAATATCACAATGAGAATAAAGTAATGTACATTAAAAGACATAAAAACATAATTTCCTTTTACGGATCTTGTTTAGCCATCTTTTTATTTTACATTCCATTGCTTAGATAGCTTTTTATTTTACATTCCCAGACTATCCATAGTTCCAGAGCCATATTAGTATTCTCAATTCATGAAAAGAACTATTACTACTTTAAGGAAACACAAGACATGAGAGAGGCCTAAAATGTTAGTCTTATAATCCTAACTCATTATCTGAAGATATGTATTATGTGTTCCTTTCACTAATTACCAGTTTAAAAGCCATTTTAGTTTATCTTGTATGTAACATACTGATGGTAAATGTCAGTATTTCTATGATGTTTAATTTTTTAGTAAATCATTCACATTTAGACCATGGCACAGTGAAATGCATAAGAATCTTTCTGACTAAAAGACTGAACTTGTTGCTAAGTGCTACGACTCATTCAAACCAACTCGCATCTTTCTGTTCACACATACTTCATAATGCTTTTGAAGTAGCAATACATTCATGTCTTATAGTGTCATGGTATTTCTACAGAAATTTTGCATCTCTATGTGTACCCATAAGATGTTGGAAAGTCCATTTATAATTAAGACATCTAACAACCTTTATCTTCAAACTCAAAGAATGATCAATATAATGCAACACATAAATGCAAGAAACATGCAACATGAAAATTTTAATTTTGAAGCAAGTTACAACAATTAACATAGTCTCAAGACTTCTGAAAGTTTCCTTTTACATAATTCTGACGGTATTTACTAAATTTCAATGCACAGTACTTTAATCATGATTTCTTTATTAAAATTTACATCTTTTAAAATTAAAAAATACATAAAAAATCTGTCAATACATTTTAAACATTTAGCTAATTTAAAAGTCAAGTTCATACTTACGCTTGTTTGACTTCTTGGGTAGTAGCAGTACGAGATAATTCCAAAGCCCCGTAATAGTCAACCATACTTTTACACACAATCAAAGACTTAATATATTTTTATTTTCAACAACTACAAGGAAAAAAAAAAAAAAAAAAAAAAAAAAAAATAGAATAATTATATATGCAGCTACAAATAAGAATGAATAACACTAAATTAAAATATCAGATGGATTCCCCCAAACTACTTTTAATTACATTTAAATTGCTTATATTATAATTGCTAGAAAATGATGCTAACTTTATAATCACACAAAATTTTAAACTTAGATTGGCACTAATTTTAAAGAAATGTCCTACATGTTTTGGGGAAGGGGGAAGAACTGATAATTCTTTAAGGACCAAATTATTCTCTGAATTACTTCAATATTATTTAGGTATGTGTTCTTAAAGAAAAGAGATTTTTTAATCAGAGTTGTTCTTCAAACAAATTTGCCAAATTGCATCACTTAATTAATGTAAACCCCATTTAAAGAGTTTACTTCCAGGAATGTATATGTAAACTTATATACATGGAAATAACTAACATACCAGGAAATTTCACAGGATAAAACTTAGGTATGTATTAACATTTCTGGACTCTCCTAGAAATGTTACCAACATAATTTAGTTTAACTAGTCATCATAAACTTGTTTACTTCAAAAATCAGAGGGGGGGGGATTTCATGGGTGACTATTCCACATATTAATGCATTCTGCTCTCACAAATCAAATTTAGATAACAGCTCACTTTGTTTGTAATATGAAACTAACCAATTAATCTCACCAATAAACAATTATTAACTTTTATTCTCTTTGATTAACTTGTATCAAATATTTTAAGATTGTGTGAGGAATATTTATTAAAGGAATATGAGGTGTAATTAATGTGAGGAATATTTATTAAATTCCTCACATTAGGTACAATCAAATTAAAAATAATAAAAAAAGATAATCGGACGAAATGTTTAAATAAAATAATAAATTAGTTAAACAATTATTTCAAGATAATAAAAACTGTGAAATCTCGAATTTTAAATAAAAATTTCAACACCAACAATTCCATTTCAGTGTTTTGTATTAACATCTCATATTTAAAAGTAACATTCATATGTTCAATTATAATATAATGCACAAAATTTTAAAAATATTCGACAATTATAAACATTTATAATTATCCACTTGTTCACGTCAGATCACATTTAAGCAGTGGACGTGAGAGCTAAAACTATACACAAACACCAAAACATAACTTTAGGTACACAATATTAAACTTTTATACACAATATAAGGAAAATTTTTGGATACATAAATATTCTCTTACGAAAATGCTTTTCACATACAGATCTTTGCAAATTTTAAATAATTAACTCAACGTAATTACTTGCGAGGCTTTTTAGGTGTATATTCAGTTCGAAATATTTGGCAATAATGTATACTGCCCAATTTAATAAAACAGTTAAAAGATTTTACTTATATTACTAATTCGGATATAAGTGGCAACTGTGCACAATAAACACTAAAAAAAAGTAATTCTCAAAATGTTAGAAAACGGAAAACAAAAAGTGTAAACGAACGTGGCAATAATTCTCTCCTCTTTATTAATTCATTTGATTCATTTGCTAAAGTAGCATATGTACAATATTTAATACTTCACTCGCATATTAACATTATATAAAAGGATAAACGATCTTATGTACAATTTTCACAGCTGCATGCAATTTTATCACAAACTAAGCAACACTAGAGTGCACAGCAAACAATATTTTTTTTTGTCCAGACATTTACACGGAGTGTAGTTTTCAAGGTATGTATTAGAAAGGTAATATTGTTTCGTTTAATTAATAATATAAATTAACTTGTGAAAAATAAGTCAAATTTTCTTAAATTTTACTCACCTGTAAGCAAAGAAACTCGACATTATACCCACACTGCAACGCGAACTGTAGGTGTGCTAATGATATGGTTACAATATTTCTGGCAACAAATCTGTAATGCTCCATAATACAATATTTGGCTGTTAAGCGTACTTTTTATTCAGTTTTCAATAGCTCCATTAGATTTCTAAATTGCTGAAGACACATTAATTACTAAAATTATTTCATTTTAAATAAACCGGAACCCTGAAACTTCTCAGTTTTTGTGTAGCTACCGCTGAAAGCTAACCGCAGCCTCAAATTTATGAGCTTCTAATTTACTATTATGAGAGTATGAGAGGGGGGGGACCTCCAGGAAACTTTTAGGAGTTCCTGTTCTTAAGACACAAGATCTGTTTATTATCTTATAAAAAATTTGGAATCTCTTTCGAACGCGGATTTCTCGCAATTGCCACTTGATCGATTCTACAGATCCGCCTTAGGATTCGGCAGTTTTTTGTGATAAAAATGAACCACAAATATCAACAGAAAAAAGCTTATTCTTGTTGCAAAAGAACGTTCCACGAATTAGAACGGATTTCTTTATATATTTTTGACAATTCTAATGCATTAACACTTGTCTGCAGTAAAATTCTTCATGGTTACAGAACTGGGTTTTTGAATACACAGGGACAAATTTTGCATGGGATTTCATAACTTTATGTACTCCATGGTGTCTACGTATTAACGCAACCGTACTTACGTACTATCGTAACCATCTTGGCGCAATTTGGCGATTTTTTACGGATGGAAATGTAAAAGTTATTTAGCATGCGCAAGTTGGTGGTTTTCAAAAAGATTTCCAAACTACCAAAGTTTGGTAACCAATATCAACATAAGAAAAGGAAACATAATTTAGTAATTTAAAATGCAGATTTGAATTTTTAAATAAGTCTTATGTCATACATTAAAAAATAAAACACATTCTATCTGAATCTTTCTGCACTTTTTTGAATCCAAAGGGACAATTTGCCCTGAAGGACTATTATTTTCGTTTTGGCTTTTTGCGTTGGTTCACTATAAATGTGCAATTCACTTTTCAAATTGTTGCCACTAAATATTATCGCCCTGTATTGTATTTAAAGAAATAAAATAATGAAGAATAAATGTACGTATGTTTCTCGCATTGTGATAAAACAGCGGTATGTGATAAAAACAGAGCCATCCAATTTTGAATAACGTACATTTCCACCCGAATATGGGCAACTGGAAGCCCAAATTTGGAACTTGGTTTATTATCTATTTCATATTTTGTAAAACTTTAATGAATTTTTGACTAACAAACTCAACGATTCAAATGCGAGCAATGGCAACACTCTACGAGGGAAGGCGAAATTTTCTTTCTCCAGCGCACGGAGCTGTGTATCGGAAATTCTAAAGATATGCTCATTTAAAAATTATTTGCGATATTGCTGTTGAACTGAGTTTTATGGTTTAAGTGCGAAGAACATGATATTTAATAAATTAAAGGTAACACATAAAACGCCCCTTTGGACGCAATTTAAAATCTGAAACATTTCAGATTATATATACATACATAATATATATGTATGTAGGAAATCACAACGTCCAATGCTGAATTAGAATACCAGGATTATGACGTCATCAGTATAGCATCACCCAGCGCAGTAAGAATCATCCCAGACAGCGCTGAGACCTGGTCGAGAGTGGATGGCAGACGTGAGCAGACGGCTCACACGTCTTCAAGAGTTTACGAACTTTAATTGTGCTTTCGATGTTATGCCTTTACATCATTATGTTAATCCTGCATACCGTTAACTTCATCTTTATATACTTTTCTTTCTTTATATACTTTTATTTCTTTCTATTAAATAAAAGCCATTTAAATATGCTACTTCGTGCTCTCATGCTGTGAATCAAAGTCAAATTCCTACAAAAAAAACATGGCGACCAACCGTGCGGCCTCGAATTCCAAAATGTGCGAGTACTAGAACTGAACTGTGAACTTTGTTCATTATGAACTGTGTTCTGAACTGAACTGAGTGAACTGTTGTCACAAGTTATTCGATTTATTGGATTACTCGTATAAAGTGTGGATTACCCAATTGACGACGATCATCTGTCGGGTGAGTACAAAACTTTCTTTCCAATATGAAGTTAGTAGAAATTCCAGAATTGGAAACAGCTTTAAAGAACAGTAAAAGTTCTGAAATCAAAAGTTTGCATAAGCTTATTTTTAATACTGATGGAGATCGAAATAACCGGAAAAGGATTACGTGAATTTTCTGGCTTTATATTTAAACCAGATTCTGAAAGAATTTGAATAAGAAAATAGATACAGTGCAGAATAGTTTTTACTTTGAATGAGTTAATTAAAATTTGCAATGTACTGTGCATAAATTCAGAAGGGTTTAAAGAACGGAAGTCGTAACCCGAATTGTCTCTTACCTATGTGATTTATCTGTATTATTTGAAAATATTTTGCATGAAGAAAATAGTGAATATAGAAGATGAAACTATTAATAAAATTTTCTGAAGTAATGCTTGATGATAATCAGAGAGACAATCCTGGTTTTAATGAGTCTCAAAGTAAATAACAGTATGCAGCTTCCAATTCAAGATCATTTTAAATCTCATCTTAGTTTTTTCGGATATTGAAAGTATTGTTAATCCTTTTTCTGGTAATGCATATGAAAACGTTGATAAATGGATTGATGAATTTGAAGATGTTATAAATTCTTTGAAATTGAGTGACTTGCATAAATTAGTTTTTGCTAAAAGATCATTAAAAGGTAAAGCGAAAACTATTTATTCAGAGTGAACCTAAAGTTAATGAACTGGTGTAAGTTAAAAAAGCTTTTGAAATCTGAATATGGTAAAGCTTTTAATTCTGCTTGAGTTGCATGAAATGTTATGTAAACGTAAATTAATGCCTAATGAATCCTTTAGATGAGTATTTTTTGAAAATGAAAGAAATGTGTTCGCGAGATAACATTTGAAGATGCTTCATTAATTAAATATGTTATTGATAGTATTCCCGATTCTGTGGTTAGGAAAACTATAACTATATGGTTGCGAAACAATATCCTGAATTTAAACAAGGGCTTAAAAAAATTATGATAAAATGAGATCGGACAATGATAAGTTTAAAAATCCGAAAACGAAAGTAGACACTCAAGTTAAAGATAGAAATAAGCTTTCGTCATCAAACCGAAATCAATCTAACGTTAATAAGGTCAAATGTTTTAATTGCCAGGAATTTGGGCATTAAGTCATCTAAGCATTGTGTAAACAAATCGCAAGGGTGTAAAATGTATAAAATCTAAGAAAGTTCGGGCATTAAATCAACGGAACTGTCCAAGATCCAGACCACCGACACACATCAAGCAGCTTTATTACAACGAATTTGTGACAAGAGATAGAATTATGAAGACTGTAGAAATAAATAATCATTTAGTTGATAGTTTGGTTGACACTGGTTCAGATGTTACGATATGCAGCGTAGGAGTTACACAAGCAGATTGGTTCTCCTAAGTTTAAATTGTAGCGATATCAACATTAAACGGAATTGAATCAAAGCAAACGTACCCCATCGGCTTTTTCATTTCTGATATTTCAATTGATAGTTTTTCACTGCGTACTAAAATTTATTGTTAAGTCATTATGTAATCAAATTGTATTAGGTTTGGATGTATTGAGTCAGTTTAACTTCTCTTTTACTGAGAATGGCCTTCAAATAATTTCTCATCGGAATAAAAGTAATGAAAACTTGATAACTGCTGAGTCATCTCGAAATTCTAACGTCGTTGCGTTATGGGAAATTTGAATATTTGCTGTCTCATTGAAGAATGTTTATGATCCTTCGCGATCGTCTGGCGTCCCTGTTAATGTAAACAAAAGTCCCGAAACGGAAGTAGCTCGACGGTTTAATTACCTTTCACATCTGGTGAATGCTATTTCTGTCAACGAGATTGATTTATCGCATATTTCAAATGCAGAACATAAAGAAAGACTGTGTAATTTAATTAATTCGTACCAACCACGGAAAAATAGACAATCTGACTTCAAGATGCAAATAAATTTATGCGATGATATTCCTGTCTGTCAAAATAGAAGATACATGTCTTTCGCGGAACAAAAAATTGTTGACGATCAAATTAAGGAATGGTTGAAAGAGGGCATAATAAAGCCTAGCAATTCTAATTATTCGGCGCCTATTGTTTTGTGTAACAAGCGTAATAATTCGAAACGTTTATGCGTGGACTATCGGAAATTAAATAAGAAGATTATTAAAGACAAATTTCCACTACCTTTAATTCCGGAAGTACTTGATCGCTTAGAACAGTCAAAAGTCTTCACGACACTAGATTTGAGAAATGGCTTTTTCCATGTAGACATAGACGAAAATTCCACCAAATATACCGCATTTGTAACACATAAGGGTATTTACGAATTTCTTAAAGCTCCTTTTGGTTTATGTATTAGTCCAAATGTTTTTCAAAGGTACATTTATTCAGTATTTCGTGACTTGTTAAATGAAGGTGTACTAATTATTTATATGGATGATATAGTCATACCGGCTAATGATGAAGTTGAATGTTTAGACAAATTAGAAAGAGTATTCAAAACTGATTCGGAGTATGGGTTACAAATAAATTTCAAAAAGTGCCAAATTCTTAAAACGTAAAATTGAATTTTTGGGACATGTTATTGAAAACGGAACTATTCGACCATCACCTTCCAAAACCGTTGCTGTTCGAAACTTTCCCACACCGCGTAACTGTAAACAACTACAAAGCTTTTTTAGGACTAACGGGATATTTTCGTAAATTCATTCCTCAGTATGCTAAAATAGCTAAACCTCTTAGTGACTTACTTGGAAAAGGTATTGGTTTTAAGTTCGATCCGAACAACAGGAAGCTTTTTGCAGATTAAAAGAAATTCTCTCTCAGGCACTGTTCTACACATATTTAGGCAAGGATATCCATTAGAACTTCATACTGATGCTAGTAGTCAAGGCTTTGGTGCGGTATTACTCCAATTGTCTGATGATGGTAATATCACCCAATCCAGTATATGAGTAAGAAGACTTCACCGCAGCAGAGAAACTCTGTAGTTACGAATTAGAAGCCCTTGCAGTAATAGAAGCTCTGAAGAAATTTCGAAACTATTTGTTAGGGACTAAATTCAAAATTGTAACTGATTGTAGTGCGTTTCAGAAAACTTTAGATAAGAGATTTAACTCCTAAATTGCGAGATGG